ACAAATGAAATATTATTTAACGATTTCTGAATGATCGTTGTTTCTTTTACATATAGTAATATCCTAAAATTATTGTGGATTTAACTTACAATTAAATAATAATTTGTTCAATTTTTTTTGTACTAGGAATTTTGTTTTACATTCATCGTTATATGTGCAACTGGCAGCTATATATTGCCATCATGATGTAAACGACAGATCAAGTGATCCCAATAATTAAGGAATGATTAAAGAATGAGTTGCATTTCTGAAAAGTTAAGCTTTCTAGTGTAACAGATCGGTTATGACAACAGTTTTAAGTTAAAATATGAGTGTGTGCGTATGTATGAACATCTTTGAGTGTGTGCATCTTTTGAGAAATAATGACATTTTATTAACGTAGGTATTATTTGTCTGATCAATTAAAAAAAACAATTAAATTAATTGAAATTTGTTAAAATGACAAGATCTTGAATTTTATTTAAAATGTCAGTTTACTTCGAGTTTTATTCTCTAGATTTTCCTAGAATTTTATTTCCTAGAATGAAATCCATTTCTAGTCATTTAAAACTATTTATCTTCCTTTTTTTATTGAATCTAAGTTTTAAAAATTTCAAAACTATTTAGTTTTTATATTAAATAATGTAAAACATTGATATGAAACAGATAGGTCTCATAATTTATATCTTTTGAAATATCTGTTTTTTATTGAATTTATGTTTTCAATTATAGAAGATTCAAAAATTACTTTTCTAAATATTATAGGCCTATATTCAGAGAAATGAATGTTTTATGATTTTAAATTAGTTATTTAATATCATGCTAACTTTTATAGTAATTAATCGTAAAATTATTTAAATTTAGTTATGAAACAGTTATTAAAATCTAGAACATTTATAAATTATGTTTTAAGATAGATTATTATTATAAAATTGATATACTGAAAGTCCGCATCAACAAAGTATAAATCAGTTTTAATGAGAAGTAAACAGAACTCAATTTTGCTGCACATGTTTAACGAAAACTTAATTAACATTTAACCAGGAAATTATCAGTGATCTGAATTAAACTTCAAGGAAATTGTCCAGAACGCAAATACAAGAAATGTCCTTAATACGTAATCTTAATTCATATGACCTCTGTTGTCTGTGTATACTTAATTTTTATTTTCTTTATTTTTACTTTTCTTTTAAGCACCTTGGGTGGTTAAACATATGTCGGTCAGTAGGTTTATTATACTTATATTTATCAATTTATTTTATGGTTGGATAGAAACAGCGATATTTATATTCTTGCTTTAATGCTTTCATGCTTCAAAAGATTCGAATTTAATTGAAATATAATAAAAAACTCAAGTGTTTAATGCATTTATTCGGTAACTTTTAGAAGAATTGCTTAAGTATAATTTTATTTCGTAATAAAATTATGTTTAGTAACAGGCTTATATTAGACGAGGGTACCATAAAATGTCGAACATCAATGCAATTTTTTACATATTAACAAAGATAAAAATTAATTATTTTTACACCATTATTTTTGTTTTCTTAGAAAAGTTTTGTTATCTGAATATAAATTAATAGCGATCAGAACAAGATAGATGGTATTTGATTCATGTAGAATATTTTGATTGCTATAAGATTTCTTTGCACATAACATTGTGGAGGCAGTAAGATTGGTGCATTGAATAATAAAAAGCGAAGTATCCGTCAAGAAAACTTCATTAGTAAGGTCGGACCGAGATGATATCTAGAAAGGATGCAAGCACCGTTTTACAAGCAACAGCGTTAACTAAGAGTTGTACAATTACCAAGACCAGTTTAGACAAGAACTTTCCCTCTCTTGTCTATTTTCTACATTCAAGTCACGTTCGTGTAGGCGGTCCAATTCGGCATCTTGTTTTATCCGTCGTTTCAGTCAATTGGCTCTTAATCTCTCTTTCTCCTCTTCATTGTAACCGTTGGATAAAGTGTAGAAAGTGTAGTAATGTATATACTATCTGTCGACTAGCATGTAAATAACTCGCTCGACAAGTAGGTAAGTAATGCCCCAACTGCCATTCAATGTAGCACTTTTTGAAATCATTAAACAACATTTATCACTGAAAAGGAAAATGGATGATGCTTGGTGAAAAGAAAAAGACACCGCCACCTTCAAATTATTCTTAACAATTTAATAATTCTATGTTATTAACTTTTATGCAAAATCTAAAATAACCAGTTTGATAAATATTTCAAAGTTTTAAATTATGTTTTCTTTCAGATTTCTTCTCGTCGGAAATGGTTTTCATAAATAAATTGTTTAAATGATACCCAATGATTATAAAAATAGATCTTAAGTTATTCATAAGTACATTTTTTAAAAATATTCTTTGCTTCCACAAATAATCTTTATCAAGATAATTTATTATACCAAGGAAAAAAAATAGAATATGTTGTAATAATTATGTATAAATTTTTCTTAGCGAGTAATATTCACGAAAATCGTGACTATATAACAACTTGTAAAGTGATTAATCTTCAAAATTGTTCCATTAAAAATGCATTGATATTTTCTTCCTTACTAAAGATAGGTAGTAATACTCTCATTTGTATAGAGTTATAAGTGTGGGTGGAAAAGACTGTTTAACGACGTCTAATGCGTTTGTTAGCATGACATAGTATCACAGAATAACATGTATCATCATCAGCATCTATTAACGAGCATTAAGAATTGTCTAGTCTCTCACTTAAGGAACATAATAATAATACCGAACGATTTTGTTAGCATGAGAAAACGATTGGTTAGCAACAGTCACATGGTTGGACATTAAATATTATCTTAGTCCAATTAAAACATCTGTAGAATTTTTAGTCGCGACTTCTCGGAAACCATTTTAATTTCTCTCTGTAAACTAATATGGAAACCATAATACAATACTAATGTAATTTTTGTTAGCCTGCAGATATTGAAGGACAGAGCCACACTTTCCGGGCGAAGATATTTAGGAAAGCCAGACCTTGTGACCTTTGTCAACAGCCAATTACAGAACAGGGAAGCTGCTGTCGAGGTAATATGTTATAATAAGATAGTCATACTATTTAACACCGGAATAGTTAATCCTTTAATCAAATTTGATCTTTCCTAAAATCGAGTTATGTTCGGTCGTATCGAGTTGGTAGAACAGTACACATCAATCACGATGACAGTCGTATGTAATTACACAACTGTCATCGTGATGTCTATATTAATTACTGTAAAACGTTCATTACCAATTTTTGAACTTATACTGTAATTAAAAACAGTTTGAAAAATTTCTTGTTTATCTAAGCTAAAATAGTCATAATCGATAGTTCAGACACCTTAAGTTAATATTATAAATCCAAGCTAAAAATTAAGGCGTGACCGGAATTAAAGTGTATGTTATGTTTTACAAGCTTTAAAATTTTTTTTGTACAGTTTGTAAATTTTAAAACCCGTTTCGGATACTTTTTTGGTCTTCCAAAATTCTTTTAATAACAACTTTGGCAACAGTTATTTACGATTGAGTGAGCATACGACTTAAGAAATTCTACCCGGTCGTAAACCCTTCGATTATCTTTTTTTGATCGTTCACGATAATCGTCCCTTCATATATTAGTCCCTTCTTATCTGACGTCATCATCGTAGGCGTGGTTCATTTTTTGGAGCTCCCACTTCGGTAGGCCTAATTAGAGTTCGTGTCGCGGGTCGTCCGCCGACCCCACAACTGGGCTCGTTAAGCTCGCGTTCTGACGCGTGGTTCTCGATTAATTATGTAGCCTTAAATGGTGAACACGATCGGTCAAAGGTTAAAGATAGTCTGATCCAGAAGCTGACTGATTATACAACGATTCTCCTTACCATTTTAGGTATTAAAAAAAGCAGTAAAAAGAAGTATCTTCCCCTAAATTAATATAGATATTTTGTTTAGAAAATAAGAATAAAATATTCTAGTTATATATTATAATAAACGTGTTTGTTTCTATAAGAATATTAATAAAAAAACACTTATCTTTCAGTCTGCAAATACGCTTGTCACCGAAAGTGCGAAATCAAGGTAAGATATCTCCTTTTAATTACTGTTTTAATATCGAAATCGACTTACGTCGTGATTCTGGCTAAACATATACATTAATGATATTAAATTTGCGCTTGCGCGAATAAACAGTCGGGATAAATTTAAAGCTTTGTCGAAAGTAGGTCGGCTTTCCTGCAATGCTTACCTGCTTTGTAACGCGGAGGCACTACTCTGTTTTACTGCTTTGTTAAATCGCTTCGAAATGGTAATTTACGTTCTTCTGGTTCGGAAATTTTCGGATTCCTGGTAGCCATGTTAACATGTTCAAGGTCAAGGTCAAAATATTTGACCGTATCGATTTCTACCAAGATCATCGAAACGACAGGATGGACTCGTAAATAAGGTAGAAAATTTTCAGAAATTTAGCTTGTATTCCTTGGACATTTTATAATAAACTATTTCTGTTTAAAACGAACAGATATTTCATATCCGTCGTTAGTGTAACTTAACAGTGGAGCAATGTAAGATGTCAGAATCAAAAGGTAGTCCAGAGGGAATAAAACGTCATCGGAGAGAGGATGTCGGGTAACCCTTCAACGTGTTTATTCTGTGCTATTTCTAGAAAATGAGATCTATCGGTGTCAGTACCGTTAATTGTCGAACATGCTGAAATTTGCTGTTCACAAATCCCGGACCATCCATCCGTCTGTAAGTGCTTTATTTTCTGCTGTTAAGAGATAACCATCCGCGTGTTTGCGTGACAACTAGAACATATATTTACACATCGGGAGCAATAAAAAAAGTCGTTCCGTATCTCGGGTGTCGTTTTATGTTAGTTAAATTTGGTCGACAAACTTTAATGCGGTAATACTTAATGCGTACGATAGATGGCGCTGATATTACGCATTCGGGTTTCAATCTTTTATGTCATGTGAATGTCGTTACTATGATGATAAACATGACACTTCGTAGCAAAGGGTAAGCGAAAGTCTGTTTTTAATTCTGGTATTAATCACGAATATTCTAACGTAACTTTTAAAAAAATTCTATAAGTATATCCATTCTCGTCATGTAAATACACCCGGTTGGGTTTGTTTATAAGAATATAGGTCGTCTTATATAGTTCGAAAAATAAACGCACTTTAAAAATAGTCTGTTAAATTAGCACATTTAATTGATTAAACACGTGTATAAACTAATCTATAAGAAATTAACGAATTTAAATGCTTTTTTATAATAATAGACTACTGAAGCTATTGTAAAATGTAATTTTTAATTGGACTAATGTATTTATCATCCGCATTAGTTACATACACAAAATTTTGTCAAGATGTCAATTTTATTTATCTGCTATTCGTTTCTTATTTAAAAGTGGGCGTTGATTAGCAGAAACTTCAGTTTGACCTTCACTGTCCAGCGCCTTGAACCCTGCAAAGAGGATAGTGTTACTTTTCTTTCTCCATTTATGCTGTGAAAGATAGATTGATAATAGCTAAAAAATTTTATCAGCACAAATGAATTTTAAAGATTTTAATAGAAAAACATTTTCTGAAAAAAGAAATATATATTGTTTTCGAAAAAGACATGTTAAAATGTATTGTATGTTGTAATTTCTTTTCCCATTCAATCGAATCCATACCGGAAAAAATCGTATTTTCTTTTTCCAATCATTTAGAACTGTCTAAAAATATCTGCAATGTTGAAATCCGAGTCCTCTCTGAATTTACACTCGACCTCCAACCTCTATGTCGGTAACGGGACACTTGTGAAGTACCAAATTCTGTCACATGCGCACGCCAATGGCTCCTCCCTTCCCTCACTGGCCACTTGAAAGCAGTGTCGAGTGGAATTAGAGGCAGTAGGTTTAGGTGGCCCATCGAAGATGTAATGGCGGGACGGGTGAGAACAGACGATTTGGGTGGATCTATGGGGATGCTTTTAGATGGGCACTTTATTGGTGTTATATAACAATGGGTAATTGCATTGGAAGATCTAAGCGACGCTTTCGTAGTCCTTCTCCCGATTGTCGATGCTCTTGTCATCGACAAAATGGGAAGAAAAAGGTAAGGTTAATTGATTCCTATCTACAGTACTTAATAATTCTGAAAGAAATACCGAATATATTCACTAATTCTAAATATTCATACATTGAACAACGTACGGATTTTTGATCAAACTTGAAAGTATTTAATTTGTCTCTATTACTGTAATTACAATCAGTGTTTAAATAAACTGATTTTTGTTGATTTATAATTTTAAACCGCTAAAGAGGAAGAATAATTTACTACATTGTTTTGGGTTTAAAGTAACTTTTTATTTTGTAAATTTTGACATGAAATATTTCTTCAAATCTTACTGCCTACTTTATTTCTTTTATTAACTTAAAATGTAGAAAATTTAGAAATAGTTTTACATCTTATTATGAAAGCTCAATGTGTCTTTGAAAATTATTCTCCCAACCTGTGAGAAAGCACATAAAAATAGTTTGTTAAAGATTACTCAGATCCGTTATTAAAATTCATAGTGTAAATTATATATTACATTATAATTTTTTAAATATTATCTAAATTGCAATTAAATGTAGGTGGATTATATCAAAAGTTTCAGGTTTAATTTCAATTTTTTACGAATTAAAATAATATATTTAAGAGATCTGAAATAATTTATAATAATTTTTATGCTTTTTTTTATTTATTAATTTTATTATTATTTTATTTTATTCATTTATTATTAGCGTTTATCATAACCATTGCATTTTTATATTTTAAAAATACAATGATTATGATAAATTTTAAGTTTCATTAATTAAAAAAATAATTCAAGAATAATTAGAATAAAATATTCTATAATAATTTCTAAAATTTATTAACAATAAATTTTCATATTTGGCTTTAAAAATTTAATAAGTTTATAGATACAATAAAATTATTGTTAAGACAATAAAAGCAAGCGTACACTAAACAATTCTAAATTTTGTGAGACAAAATAATTAAAAAATTAACGTAAAATTTAAAATTAAGAATTTAAAATACAGTAATTACAATTTAAAATTAAATAATTAAAATTAAATTTGAAACAAGATAACATCTATAATAATTATTTTTATATAAATATTTCTTATACAAATACCAAATACAAACATAATACAGTATACACAAACACGCATACGTACGCACGTTCATGTAGATGCATTTATATATGAAATTAGAATTAACAGGCATAAAAAAAATTTACAATTTTATACACTATAATTACTTAAAATATCCAATTTATTGGTGATAACTTATTGGTAAATAAATTGGTAAAATATCCACAAATTTATTAATTTTATGCTGAAACTAAGAAAAACGGCACTTAACTAATATAAAATCGGACAATTACCGATTTCGAGATATGTATTTTGAATTCATAACGTCAAAATCCGACAAGGATATATTCTATGTAAATTATTTTCATATGCTATACAAATAAATTAGATAAAAATGTTAATTCCATCATCATGATGAAATTATGTCTATAAATTATTTATTAAAAAACTTCAAATATGGAAATGGAAACATTAATTTGTATTTATATCATATTTATTCTCTTGGAACAAGTAATCTCTGAAATGAAGGTTATAAATATAAGAATAACTTTTACCTTAGGATCTAATAAATATAAAAGTATTTGAAAAGGATGAAATATATTTATATGATAAAATATTTTAATTTATTTTATTTCGAATTTCAAATTACTATTTATTTACAATAGGTTTTTATTACGAGATTGACATAGAATTTATACAGACAACATTGGCTTATATATAAGTTTAATAGTCATATAATTAATTTAAGTTCAGATTTTTTTCTATAAAATTTTTAAAATGATGATTTATAAAATTTTGCTATTCTGTAATGTTAAAATAAATATTGGAAATAACACTTTCATGTAAATTAAAAAGGAAATTAAAATACAGTGTTCATATTTAATAATTATTATGAACTAAGTTAAATGTATGATTAATCATACACAGACTTTAATCAAAATCATATGAATTAATTACTGTGCATTTATTTCTAATGTCATTTAAACAATAAATGAATTTAAAGTCATATCTTGAAAATAAATATTTATTTTTATAAATATTAAGTCTGTTTTTTTATTAAAATATAATTACTGTAGTAAAATTTAACATTTATTCATATTTTTAAAGAAAATTACAGTACATTAAATTTATTCTTATATTATTTAGAAAATGTCTCTATCAGATAACAGAAGTGCTGTATATTTACGTTAATTTAGACAGAAATATTTTGCTATCAGAACTTAAATTGAAAATATTACAGATTATATATGATTATTAATCTATAAAAAAGAAATTCGATATACTGTACAGTATTGTCGCATTTATTCTTCACTAGAGAAATTTCAATATCTTTTAATGTTTATCTTATTTAGTGAACTATGGTTTTATTAATGATGCTTTTTTAGAAAGAAACAAGCCGGAATTGGTAATGCATAACAAATCACACAATAAGTTTTCTAAAAATATACTTAAAGATCTGCATTTATTATTACAGCTTTCATTCTTTCATTCCATATGTTGACATATTCGATCCAAGGTAATCTTTTCCCTATATTGCAAGAGGTGTTTTAGCTAAAAAAGAAGAAAAAAAAACTTGTAGGTGCCTCATGTCACTCAGTCTAATTTACCATCTGCTTCGACATACAAAAGATTCCTTCTTTCAACTCGCTTCACTCACTCTCTTGATAACCTCCACTTGGTCGGTGCCTGTTTACATTGCACAGCGAGCACACCCCTCTTACAACCGATTCATTGTCTGCATTATTCGAGGAAAATATGACGTCATCGTCATGTAGCAAAAAAGGAAGTATTACTCGAATTTCACTTGTTTTAATAACTTACTTCCTTGATTTTAGTTGATTTATGATGTAACAATTAAAAGTTGTAGTCTAGCTTCTTTTGAGCTATACATGAGCGAAATTTATTATATTACTCAGTGTATTTGTAATAAAATATTTGAAGATCATCTCTATATATAGATCATCACATAAATTTAAATACAGTATTACAATACAATTTCGAAAATTCGTTCCGGAAATCTTTAAAATGCAGATTGATTTACTTGGTCTCTTGATGATGCAAGAGTTTCCGCAATATATTCAAACAAGCATATATAATGGCTTTTTATTATAATTGTTAGTTTAAGGATAGAAAAAAAAACCAAAAAGGCAGTATTTCACATACGTTACTTTAAAATGTCTAGTGAGCTTACCCTTAAAAAAATAAAATATATTGCTTTTGGATAATATTTTTCGCGATGTTTTATCATTATAAACTTTGGAACTTTTTAAATTAATTTTCTTTTATGTTCTTTTCACTTATATCTGTGGTATCTATATGATAATTACAGATATATTTATAGTTTGTATATATGGTAACTTCTAGAGCAAAAGATATAGGCCTAAAGAATATAAAACTTTTGGATTTTACCCCACACATCTGATCTTCTTTAATTAAAGTATCTTCCCTATGCAACTATATTCCTTTATTTTCAAAGATTACAGATCAATTTCAATTGGAAAGAAGAGTTTTTCATAAGTCCATTCTAAATATGTTTGAAAGAAGAAATTGATGCAAATTTTTAAAGGAATGAAGCAATTTAACTTTCGAATTAATTATTGCAATATCTATTAATTTGAAAAGGTTGCAACATACTAATAATCAGCTAGTTTATTTAAAATTTTACAAGGAAACATTTGTATAAAACGACACATACGAATTTTGTTTCAGTTTGTTAATTAGATTACTTAGATTAGAGTCAACGAGTTAAACTTTTGTTTTGATTTTAGTTTAAATTGGGCAAGAGCAAAATGATTGGTTTCTGCGACCTATATATAATTAATTATAATGAATAAAGTTTAATTTGAGTCGAATATCTTCTATGGTTTAATAGATAAATATTGTTCAGTATACCATTTTTATATACAAAAATTTCGCAGATGGAAAACATTTTTGCACATTTCATTAATTGATTTTCAATTATTATTATTATTATTATTATAAGAAGCGAAACGAAATAATATGTTCTCTACAATTTAATATTTTATTCAAAAAATGAAACACTAGTAAAATTCAAACCGTACAATAAGAAAGTGTGTCTGAAATTCTTTATAGTTAAACAAGTGTTTGCAATTTCGGAACACGTTCTTAAGATACCCCACGGGATCATATTCTCCACTACGAAATTATAGAACATAAAAGAAAAATAATGAGGGCTACATTTCATAAAACTAATTAATGTAAAGCAATGTATCATGCATCACGACTGTAATTTTACATCATAAAAATTGTACGATGTTATTTGGGAAAATTTGTAAGACTAAAAACGCATTATTTATAACTGTTATTATTTCTGTTTTCCATTTCTAATCTAAAAATAAATCCAATTACATAAATGTGTTATATTTGACTTCCATACACTATAGGCTACAATTTGATAAATGCAAATAGAGGTTACATAATGCGTAATGTGATATCAATTCTTTGAGAGGTATTTACGATTTTCCTGGACTTCGCCTTTTTTTTTCTAAATGCCTTCGATACTTAAACGGTTATAATAAGAATGTTAAGTACTCATAATGACGTCAGTAATTTAATACAGCACTCATTTAGTTTGTGTATATTACATTTTTTGTTTTTAATTATTAAAATGGCGCAAGTTTTGTTTTTGTGCGTAGATACGATTTAAAACTAAACAAGATTGTGATTTATCTAATTGTTTTAGTTCTCTTTTATATTTCAACATTAAAATTACCCTTTGATCAAAGTTTTGTTTTGATTAACACTTTTTAGTGTGATATTTTCTATCCTTATCGAAATAAACGATGTTGACACGATGCGAATTAGGTCGGATCAAAACTCAGAACTTTGTATTTTGTTAAAGTACAGTACATTACAGTAGCCTTGTATTTATTTTCTTCTATTTTTTGCTTTTTATACAAAAAACAAAACTCCTGTTTTGCTTTCAACTTTATGATATTGTTTTTAATGAGATAATAAAACACGAAAATTGTTTGGTTATTATTTAATTTAGAATTTCTCGTTTTTTTATTATAAACTTAATTAGCTTTATGTGACATCAAAATGTCATAGTAAGTTAGCAATTGAGTTTGTTTCTTGTCCACATGTTTATGTCTGGAGAAAATTTGACCTTCGTTTTTACAGTGACTCGATGAAAATGCAGATTTTAGTACATCCTTCAGCTGTTGTCAATGAAATAAATTTAGAAAAAGGATGTAAAAATGTCTATTAGAAATAATTTGTATCCGTTAAACTAGAAATTGTCAATATAAATTAGTTATAGTTGTCAGTTGTAAATTTAAGAGTGCTAATTTATTTACTGTTTATATAACTTTCTTATAATTGTGTTAAATCAATAAATTTATATAAATATTTAGCAGGACAGTTTAGAAGGAAACCTTTCTAGTATTTTGTTTCTGTTAAACAATTTTATTTTTATTTAAAGGTTATCGCAGCTTGTGAACCAGTAGTCAACTACGAATTGGTATGTATCTGACTTTAATTCTAAATTAAAAATATTTTAATAAGCTTCCTTAAAGAATATTCTAGCTATTAAAAATGTTTTACATTCTTTTTATACATAATTTAACTGTTTTCATATATATACTGTTTATCTTCATCCATTTGCGCTTCTATTTATATCATGCAAAATCTAATGCACTTTATCGTGTAAGATGTAACAAAACAAAGGACATTCGTGACGCATATCTTGCATGATAAAGTAGATACAGATATATCTTATGCGATATCGTTTAAGATCATGCATGAATGTCCATCGTAAGAGCACGAATGTCCATCGTTTCGTTACATCTCCATGTTTAAACTATGTTTATCTAAAGAAAGCCGTTCTTAGATCAAGGGAAGAAACATGCGAAAATGCACAGTTAGTGCCCTCAATTAATACTGTCAACGGTCAATTATTTTTGATTAATGATTCTTAAATCCAATTCGTAATATCCTTTTACTATAACCATTATAAAAATGTAAATATTTGGATAACTTAAAGCTATAAAATGTTAATGTCGCGATAAAATTTATTTAATAGCATTTAATCGGATAATTAATTTAATGAATATTTTAACTTAATTATCAGCATTAATAAAATTGCGTAGTAGGTTTATAAGTACAATTTTTTAAATTGAATAAATGCTGCAAATTTCTAAACTTAAAGCTGTTTAATAATTTTAACTACTTATATTTCAATCATTTGCATATTTAGTTATTCTGAATATTTTCTGATTTAAGTTAAGTGCTGCTACAAATCAAGAACTAAACACTTGTTTGTATTTTAACACAAAAAAGTCAATTAGTTGTTAACAGCTTGAAACAGAAATACAGATGGAAGTAATTACTACATTGCTGCTTATCTATTCCATTATAAAATGATAAACATTGTTACTTTCATTTACAGTACAGTACATTAATAATCCAATTTCCAAATAAAAGTATGGAAACATGCTACACAATATAACATATAGTTTGAAACTTTTAATGTTCTCACTGACAATTATACAAAAGCAATTATTTAGAAGCAAAGATAATAAATTTATTATTTAATTTTAACTTTTAATTAAATGTTAAATAATAATATGGAAGTTAAATAAAATTCAGTATTTAAAAGTTACATATTAAAAAATTTTCAATAGTTTAACTTGAAAATATACATCACAGTATTCATTTAAAATTTGTATTTATAAAAGTTCAGTTTGTAATTTATAAAAATTTTTAAAATTTTCATATCGCTTTTTACTGTTTTGATAAATTCTTTTGTAGGAAATAAATTTTAATATTAATTTTTTGATGCAAAACTTCTTAACATATATTAAATACAAAAATCTGACAAATTTTATCAAAAACTTCTATAAAGAATTTGCATATTTTTTAATGAAATAGTACAGCTTGTATATATATAATTTTCTTTCATTTTTATAATATGGCTGTTGTTACAAGAATTTCTTCATTCAACAATAAATTATTGATATATGTTTTCAGAACCATCTTTATTATATATACTATATTACAATATCTAAATGTTTTAATGAATAAATATTCTTCTGCAATTATGAAAAAATTTGTGATTAATCATGAAAGTTTTCCAAAAATTTTCCTGAAAAATTATTTTCTATGCATGTTCAGTTTTTGATTATTTGAATGATAATTGAATATTTTTGTAGTTCTTCAAACATCTTCAATAATTATGTAATGCTTTTACAAATTTTTGAAGCATTTATTGCTTCAAATCCAAAAATGTTCATTCTGTAATTTATTAATAGAATATCATCATACATAGTAAAAAACTGAATGGTAATACAATAATTAACATGCCATGTTATGTTTGCTTTAGTACCCTAAGAGCTTATGCTTACAAAATATAAGCTTATTCAATGATAAATATATAAATATATATATATAAATAAAAATATTTTTAAAAAATAAATAATTTATTCATTAAATGTATTTAAACAACATTAAAATGATAAAATAAATTCACAAACAATAAAATGTATAAATGCAATATATATTAAAACAAATCAACAATGGGAAAAATATAAATTTAGATGACAAATAGTTAGCATTGTTTTTTAAAACTGAATGATATAATTAAATTATTTTAAATTATATATTTAGAAGATTTCAAAAGAAATGCACTTTGTTATTAAAATTATATTGTAAGAAATGCAATTGATTTAGAAACCTGTTATGGAAGAACAAATTAATCCTTAATAGAAAAATTTTTCTATTCAAATGGAAAAAATAATTTTGTTGATTAAGTAACAAATATAATGGAAATTAATTAAGCAAATTATTTTGAAACTTAATGGACTGTGACTCTCTACAAAGGCATCTTAAAGTGTTCTATTGTCTTAGTATGATGGATTTCATTGAAAAGTTGCTTTGTTTCCTATTTCCTGTGATAAAATGATATAAAATATTACTGTATTTAGCATTAAATTTTTAAAACTTAAAGTTCTTTTAAATGTATTTTAATAATATCCATTGCAACATAATTCTAAATTCTATATAAAAAAAGCAACACCAGAAACATATATGATAGTTTATAAATATTTTTTATAATATGGCTGTTGTTACCAGAATTTCTTCATTCAACAATAAATTATTGATATATGTTTTCAGAACCATCTTTATTATATATACTATATTACAATATCTAAATGTTTTAATGAATAAATATTCTTCTGCAATTATGAAAAAATTTGTGATTAATCATGAAAGTTTTCCAAAAATTTTCCTGAAAAATTATTTTCTATGCATGTTCAGTTTTTGATTATTTGAATGATAATTGAATATTTTTGTAGTTCTTCAAACATCTTCAATAATTATGCAATGCTTTTACAAATTTTTGAAGCATTTATTGCTTCAAATCCAAAAATGTTCATTCTGTAATTTATTAATAGAATATCATCATACATAGTAAAAAACTGAATGGTAATACAATAATTAACATGCCATGTTATGTTTGCTTTAGTACCCTAAGAGCTTATGCTTACAAAATATAAGCTTATTCAATGATAAATATATAAATATATATATATAAATAAAAATATTTTTAAAAAATAAATAATTTATTCATTAAATGTATTTAAACAACATTAAAATGATAAAATAAATTCACAAACAATAAAATGTATAAATGCAATATATATTAAAACAAATCAACAATGGGAAAAATATAAATTTAGATGACAAATAGTTAGCATTGTTTTTTAAAACTGAATGATATAATTAAATTATTTTAAATTATATATTTAGAAGATTTCAAAAGAAATGCACTTTGTTATTAAAATTATATTGTAAGAAATGCAATTGATTTAGAAACCTGTTATGGAAGAACAAATTAATCCTTAATAGAAAAATTTTTCTATTCAAATGGAAAAAATAATTTTGTTGATTAAGTAACAAATATAATGGAAATTAATTAAGCAAATTATTTTGAAACTTAATGGACTGTGATTCTCTACAAAGGCATCTTAAAGTGTTCTATTGTCTTAGTATAATGGATTTCATTGAAAAGTTGCTTTGTTTCCTATTTCCTGTGATAAAATGATATAAAATATTACTGTATTTAGCATTAAATTTTTAAAACTTAAAGTTCTTTTAAATGTATTTTAATAATATCCATTGCAACATAATTCTAAATTCTATATAAAAAAAGCAACACCAGAAACATATATGATAGTTTATAAATATAAAAAGTTTTCCATAATATTTACTTTTGTGTGAAACAATTGACACTATAGATTGTATGGCAAGCCTTAATTTTGTTTAATATACTGTAGATGAATTTCATCCATTTTCAAAATATTTAAAAAGGATTTTAAAATAAATTATAAAATCAGAATCTTCTTTTTTGATTTTATTTTTAAAATATTTCATTTTTACCTTTCTATGATTGAATCTTCTTAAAATAAGTCTAAATATATTCCAAAACATTATTAAATTAGTAAAGATTATTAAAAATTTATTTTTTAAAATATGTTTTTTATATACAATTATAAAAAAATACAATTTGTGGCATAGTAAACACTAGTATTGTGTTTTATTCCAATAACTTTTTTTGAAATTTGGAATAAAACACAATACTAGTGTTTACTACGCCACAAATATAAAACAGGACACGGTTTCAAAAAGAAAATAAAAAAAATACAAGTTTTTTATGTTTAGAATTTGTTTTTTTACTAATTATTTTTGAGGTACACTTTCATTATTTGAATATACTCCTCCTCCTCTTCAGAATGTAAAATTATTAATGTAAAATATTTTAAAGATGATATTCAAGCAAGAAAGCATTAAAAAATATTAAAAGTGTATTATTAAACTTATTTTTTAATATTTGAACTTCTAGAAGAAAGTCTGTACTTTTCAGAATTTAATAAATAAAGAATTGATATTTATTACTCTGTTTTGTATGCTATTGAATTGTACATTGATTGATTAAATTTCTAAAGATTACTACTAAAGGTATATCATTTCAAGTATTGATAGTTTCTATGAAATGCATAAAACTTTATGCTTTAATTTTCCAAATTCTTAAATTGATTGATTAAAAAATATTTCCTTAGCATATTTATTATTGATATTCATTTGAATTGAATCAATATAAGTAGTTTACACATAATATATTGTACATTATGCTAAGAATGTGGCAATTTCTATTTGATTATTTCAAGTACTCAAAGTTTGATTAAAAATTTTATTCCAAATTCTAGTGTGGAACATAATAATTACAAGCTATATATAGTTTGTCCAATTCTGCATAAAGTTGAATCAAAATATATACAGTATAATTATTTATTTCAGTTAATTTTATTTTGTTTGTCTTTTAATAAATTTCAAAATATTAGTTAAAAATTTACATAAATAAAAAAAATCTAGCATTATTTGGATATTCTTTAAGGAAATATTCATAAATAAATAGTAGCTTCTGACTTTTCTGAATCAAGAACTTTATTGTCTGTGATTTAA